AAGCACATTTCTTTTAGGAAAACGTGATGGAAGGGATCAAGATGACCCTGAAGAGACAGGCATGGTGTCCCACCCCAACTCTACCTATCAATCCAGTCCCTGCGTGTCTACTCCTGCTCCCAGGGTGGGGTTATTTGCCCCTTACTAGCATCCTCTGTTGTTTCCATCTCACTTATAATATTCCTTTTTTTTTTTTTTACAATTGCCTGATTATTTTATCTTTATCTCTGTTTAGACTACTACCTCCAAGAGAATAGGTACCTGTCTGTTTGTCTTTTTCATCTTTGTATTCTCAGAATCCAGGCCTGTGCCTGCCATGTTTAATAATTACAGTTTGATGACTGAGTATCAAAAATTCATCTCCAATTTCAACTACAGGGAAGAAAAAGAAAATTTTAGAGGCAAGAGACACAGGATGGTGTTGCTTTTAAGTTTCTGTTGAGAAGGCTCTTGAGGGCTGCAGTATAGCAGCCTAAAATCTCTCTCCGTACAGAGCTTAGAGCTGGAAGTCCAAAAATTGCAAGAAAAGAAAGAAGAGATTACAAGATGCATGCTATAACTTAACAGTAATTTCTAGGTCAGTTGCAAATGATTGCCATTAATAATTACAAGCCTGTATTGAGTTCTTTCTATTTTCAGAGTGCTTTACAATCATTAATTTGTTATTCCTCACAACACCCTATGAGATACATTATCATCGTTATCACATTGCAGATACACTAAGCATGTCAAGCTGGAGTTAATTGACCCAGGGATGTAGCTATACTTAGTAGTTCATTTGCTCCTCTGCTTTCTGGTCTTAAAAATCTATTGATGCGGCCTGGAGGGTGATATTGCTAAAGTGCAATTTAGAAGGAAACATCACAGACAACCAAGAGAATTACAGAAGTAGAGTAGGCACTAAATTTCTGAAGGGTATGAGGTGACAACGAGAAGCTCCAGTGTATTCCAGAAGCACATGCATTCACTTGCAACCATTTGCTGAAAGATGACTTTTCTCCTGAGGTTACTGCCACCATGCAAATGTGCATTTTGTTTAATATGCATAGGTTTGAAAACAGTTTCTACAAGTTGGCCTCACAGGATGAGTCAAGGTTTCCATCCATGGTACATCTGAATCCCAGGACCAGATAATTTTGTTCATCTGGGAGCTACATGTGATTACATGTTCACACCAACAACTAAAACAAGTATGATTACATGCTAGGAATAGTATTGTCCAAGAAGGCTGTTCAATTAATTGGAACACTATCTCTCCATATTCAAGGAGAGTGTTTTAGCTGCCTGATTACATGCTAGGAATAGTATTGCCCAAGAAGGCTGTTCAATTAATTGGAACACTATCTCTCCATATTCAAGGAGAGTGTTTTAGCTGCCTGTCAATGGGATGTTTTTCTTTCTATGCTTCATTGCTTGACTTTCCATTTACCCACCTGTGTAGCCTTCTCAATAGGCACTTAAATTCTCTTGTTATAAAATGAATTGAATCTCCCAAAAAGACACCTTGGAACCCTAACCCAGTACCTCAGAATGTGACCTTATTTGAAAATAGGATCTTTGGAGAGGTAATCAAGTTACAATGAGACCGTTAGGGTAGGCCCTAAGCCAGTATGCCCGGTGTCCTTATACAAAGGGGAAATTTGAACAAGAGGTAGACATGCAAAGAAGGAAGACAGACGTGTGAAGACAGAATATTGGAGTGATGCATCTACAAGCCAAGGAACACCAAAGATTAACAGCCAACCTCTAGCTTCTAGGAAAAAGGAAGGAAGGACCTTTGCCCTATAGGTTTCAGGGAGAGTATGGCACTGCGGATGCCTGAACTTCAGACTTCTAGCCTCCGGAACTGTGAAATGATAAATTTCTGTTGTTCTAAGCCACCTGGTTTATGGTGCTTTGTTATGGCAGCCCTAGGAAACTAATACAGTATTCTTAATAGAGTAATCTCAAAAGGAGATGAAAAATGACATTGTCAAAGGCCATGGCCACAGTACTCAATTATCCCTAGTGCTAAGTCACTTCCTACCACATAACAACTTGTGTGTATAAAAGATACTTCCATCAACCAAATCACTGGGCAATGTTTTGAATTCTCAATTATAATTATGGTCACAACTCTACAACTGCTGTCCCCAACCCCCAGGATGTGGATCAGTACTAGTCTGTGGCCTGTTAAGAACTGGGCTGCACAGCAGGAGGTGAGCGGAGGGCAAGTGAGTGAAGCTTCATCTGTATTTACAGCCACTCCCCATCGCTGGGATCACTGCCTGAGCTCTACCTCCTGTCATATCAGTCACTGTCCCCCATCCCCCCAAGATGGGACCATCTAGCTGTGGAAAACAAGCTCAGGGCTCCTACTGATTCTGCATTATGGTGAGTTGTGTAATTATTTCATGATATATTATAATGTGATAATTATAGAAATAAAGTGCATAATAAATGTAATGAGTTGAATCATCCCCAAACCATCCTTCCCCCACCCCAGTCCATGGAATAATTGTCTTCCATGAAACCAGTTCCTGGTGTCAAAAAGGTTGGGGAGCACTGCTGTACAATATAGAAGCACTCCCTTTAAAAAATAAAAATTTCATATTAACAATCTATATCCCTAAGTTGTTAGAGGACCATCATTTGAAAACACATGCTTTTGGTCACACAAAGGACAATGGGAAAAAAGGAGACTGGAATAATATAAGCCATTACCACTATAAAGAAAGTATTTTAAATTCATGTCTTACTGGTATCCATTTCAAGCAATTTTTAAAACTATAGCAAATTAAATCCAAATAACATAGAAGAAAAGAAATAATAAAGAAGAAAGATGAAAGAAATAGGAAATACACAATTAAAAAATCAACAAAGTCAAAAGTTAGTTTTTTTAAAAGACATTCCAGAATGATAGATATTTAGCCTAACTGATGAGAAGAAAAAGAGATAGAAGACAGAAGTTGCAAATACTGGAAATGAAAAAGGGACATCACTATAGATTACACAGATGTTTGAAAGCTCATAGGAAGATATTATGAATAATAGAAGGTCAATAAATTTGCCAGTTGAGACAAAATGTACACATTCATAGGAAAATATAATTTAATAAACTGCCAAAAAAATTAAAATTTCCAATCATATATATTAATATATTAAAGAGGTTGAATCTGTGATTTAAAACTCTTTCATCAAAAAACCACTATGGCTAGATGGCTTTACCAGTGAATTCATCCAGACATATTTAAGAAGGAAATAATAGCAGTCATGACAAACTCTTTCATAGACTATAAAAGTAGAAACACTTCTCAACTTGTTTTATGAGGCCAGCATAACTTTGCTGCCAAAACCCAATGATGACATTACAAGAAAGGAAAATTTCAGGACAAGCTCTCTCATGAGCATAGATGCTAAAATCCTAAACAATATGTTATTCAAGGCCAAGAAAACTATGAAACATTTTAACGAACAATTACGGAAGTCCTAAATAAATGAAAGAATAAACCATATGCACCAATTGGAAAATGTGACCAATTAGAAAAATGTACATTCTCCCACTAATAGATATACGGATTAAAGGAAAGGCCAATCAAAATCCCAGAAGGTCTATTTTTGTGAAAATTGACAAACTGCTTCCAAAGCTTATATGAGAACGCCGAGAATATGGAATAGCCAGAACAGTCTTGAAGAACAAAGTGGGCGGACTTACACCACTAAATACAAAGACTTACTATAAACCCATGGTAATTAGGACATTTAGTATTTAGCACAAGGACAGATGAGTAGGTTGATGGTACTAAACAGAGAATCCAGAAATAGACTCACAACAAATGCAGCTACTTAAGACAAAGGTGACAGGAGTCTAGAAATATGGTATGTGCCAGGCAGAAGCTGCCAATGTGTTCAGCCCCAAATAACTCTGGGTACTGAGTCTCTAATGAGCTTCCCTGGTAGACAACATGTCACAAGTGTTGTCACAACCAGTTGCTGGGGATTCGAATTAGCACATCCTGTGCAACTCCAGTGGGAGAGGAAGCTTGCATGTGGTTTCCTCTAGACCTCATTCATCTGCCTTTTCCTTTGATGATTTTGCTTTGTATCCTTTTGCTGTTATAAACCATAGTTTCCGACTAAATATTGAATCCTGTGAATCCTCCTAGTAATTCATCAAACCTGGGGGTAGTCTTGGGGACCCCAACACAGAATATTAGAAGTGCCCATCTTATTCCCTTTTTCCATTGAAATATGTCAAAAGGTATAACAAAATCAAATTGCATATAGTATCAAAAGGACGTTATAATGAATAACATTAGAATAACTCAAGAGAAACTAGTGATTATATAATACCTTGAAACATGAAGTGGTACATAAAGACTAGGTGACAAAAATAAGGCAAATTATACTTTTCAATTAATTGCAAAGGACATTCCAACAGATTTGCACACAAACTTAATTTTGTATGTCCAGCATGAACTTTTGTAAGCCTTTTCAATATACCTAGAATATTTTTAGTGATAAAGATAAGTGCATGCAGAGATCCATTAACTACAGGGGAAAATGTTTGGGAACTATTGAATAAAATGTCAAGTCTAATAGGATTTAAAGTCAGTTTATTAGAATTATAAGGAAGTATTTCATGTACACTGCTCTCTGGGTTTTGCTTAATGGTTGTGATAATTAACTTCTCAATTTCCATAAAAATGTGGGATATATATATACCTATGTTCAGTACTTGACAAATAAATCATGGTAATTACATATTCACATAGCCGATGATAATTCTTCTAACTCAGTCTAATAAGCAAGAATTTTTAAAGATAATTATTCTTTTTTAAAAAACCACATGTATAAAATGACTCCAGCTGGGCAGGAATTGTGAGGCTCTCTGATGATCTGGAAACAGGAATTTCCTAAATCTTCAGTTCAATGTTAACATCCTTCCAGGCCCTGCTTCAGGAAGATGTGTATTCCCAGGGCACTAACACTTTTGTTTAACCTATTTGTTTCCTGTGACATTACTCATAATAAATCATAGTAGGAAAAAAGGCTCTGTAGCTGATTCAGTAATATCTGAATATCCCCGGCAATCTAGAAGCCAAGCATTCTAAGGAAAGTAAAAATAGAAAATAAAATAGGAAAAACATAGACTTTCAAGTCATAAAAACTGAATGTAGTAGGCTCTAAGGGGGCTCCATGAGAGCTCCATAGGCTACATTTTGGGGTGCATTTTGAGAAACATTACAGTGTGTACTTGATAACTGCATGCTATTAATATCTTTTTTATTACATTGTACCTCTGTACTAAAGTTCTTTTAGTAAACTCTTGCTTTCATATTATTTACACTTGCTTTGATTTCACATGACCAATAACCACCTGAGTATTCTCGATGTCTATCAAGAGCCACAGGCTTTGTCTTCATCCACATCTCTGTCACTTTGGAGCTCCCCCGCCTCCAATCATTGACACCCTTGGTAGATGTCTCCTGCCCCCCTCCAAGCCTGAATAGTGATGATTACAAGTTCTCCAATGTTAATCAAGGCTTAAGATATTAAGCCAGCCAAATCTATAAAATCTTGGTATAATTAAAGTTAAGCACCTCATTTTGTGCTTCAGAAAAACCATAATGACGCTCTTGCTCTTTAGAAAGGGTTGGCTGAAGTCTATAGATTTTCAATAAGTGAGAATTTCCAAAGAGATTTGTTTCTCAGAGGGCCCAAAGAAAGACAATAAAAAGGATTTGAGAGTACTGCACTGGCGAGAATTGTAAAGATAATTACCCACATTAGTCACTTTTTATCCATTTTCTTTCCCCGCTTTCCGCTAAAAAACTAGAAAGGGAATTCAATACAACACTCTGTGATAATGGAACAGATCCCTTCATGAACTGTAAGTACACTTGAGATATAAATCCAAATGACACTGCTGTGACTGCCAGCCAATGTTCAAATATTCAGTTCAAGTTAGGTGCTGAGATGACACACTGCAAAGATAGCAGTAGCAGGTATTCATTACACCTTCTCCTTGGGTGCCCTTGGGTTGGCATGGAGCTACCCCAAGGGACTCTGTGGTGTGACTCCAAGCAGTCTGCTCACAGAGTACAGCCAACTGTGCCACATTCTCTCTGCCTCCAGAAGCAAAGGGGCCTGGGTGACCAGAGACAAGCTGCTCCAATGCTGGCAAGGCCATTAACACCACTCACCATTTATGAGATCCAGGTAATCAATGATGGCACTTCATGAATACACACTGCACCTAACTGGCTGATCAGTATTTATCAGATGACTCTGATGTTTTCAATGTTGTATAAAATGACAGAACTGCTATTTTTGAAGGTGTGATTTCATGAAGCCTTCAACACAGTAGAGTTGAATATATTAATATTTTTGCATGTGAGGACCTGTAGGAAGGAATGATATTCAAAATATGTAATAGCTTGTATGGCTTGGCCACCAATCAGTCAAGATGACAGCCAACAACTGATATAACCTCTTTTCTGCTTTTCAGCTGAACATCAGCCCTGCCTGGATTGGTATTTTAGAATCCAGGCATGCTACAGAACCTCTACTGACTACAAACATCAGCACCCATGTGAAAAGTCATGTTGAGACCTTCTATCCAGAGGTATGTGCAGAAGAGATCTGCAGGAGGAAGGAGTGTAAAAATTTGTCTTGATGGTCCCTTTTTGAATTGTGATTTTTTTTTTTTGAGGTGGGTCTTGCTCTGTTCCCCAGGACAGTGTGTTCCCCAGGACATGTCTGTGCAGTGACATCATCATAAGCTCAGCCTCCTGGCTGTTCCAGATTCAACTCAAAAGGAGCAGCTTTTTTGGGTCACCCACTAAATAGGCTGACGTCACACACTCTAATGGGGAACATGTTGCCTCCAGAGTTCTAAGAGTCTCACCAGGCATTTTGCCTCTTTTTGGGTTTTAGGAGGGGCCGTATGGAACAACTTAACTAACCTTCATCTCAGAGAGGATGTCTTGATAAGCCCCACACTAATGGAGCCCTAGGAATGTTACTGAGGTACAAGTCCTCTAAATTGTGTTGGATTTATTTCTCACCCTCTGGCATGTGAATGTCTTATCAATAAGTCTAGAGTAGTTGCTACTTCTTGCTCACTAGGTCCAACCAGCATAATGCCACCCATGTAATGTACTAGTGTGATGTCTGGTTGGAGAAAAAGGTGATCAAAGTCCCTGTAGACTACATTATCACATGAAGCTAGGGGTTGATATACCCCTGCAGTAGGACAGCATTGACCCTATTGTACTTCTCTGATTGAATAGGGTGCTTTCTCTTCTGTGTCCTCCTTCTGTGTGCTAAACTAACCCAAATTTGCCCTTTAGGACAGACCTCTCTCTCTCTCTCTCCATATAAGGCATACTTTGAAATTCTTGTAGTAATTTAATAATGCCCCCCAAATATGTCCATATCCTCATCCTGGACCCCCCAAAATGCTACCTTATATGGCAAAAGGGACTTTATAGATGTGACTAAGTTAAAGATTTTGAGATGGAGAGATTATCTTGGATTATCTTGGATTATCTGGGTGGACCCAATGTAATCACAGTGGTTCTTTTAAGGATGAAGTAGGAAGAGTCAGAGTCAGAAGGTGATGCAATGGAAGCAGAGATTGTATTGATGTGCTATAAAGATGGCAGAAGGGCCAAAAGCAAAAGAATCAAGGCAGTACTAGAAGCTGAAAAAAAAATCAAGGAAACAGATTCTTTCCTCAAAGGCCCCAGAAGAAACCAGCACTGTTGACACCTTGACTTTATTTAGCCCAATAAAACTGACTGTAAACTTCTGACCCCAGAACTGCAAGAGAATAAATTTGTATTGTGCTGTTTCAAGCCACTAAGTGCATGGTTATTTGTTACAGCAGCAATAGGGAACTAGTATACTGAGGCCCTTAACCTAGTGAAGTCAGCTTGATATAAATTGACAAAAGGAAGGATAGAGAACAATTGCCCTTTGGTGATACCAAGTGACAGACACTATGTGACTTCAGCCTATTGTCATAAGTAAAAATAGGTAAAATAATAGGCTGGTAGCTTCATATCATCCAATTTTCCAAAGAAGCCCTGTATTCATTTTCTATTGCTGCTATCACAAATTAATCACAACTTTAGTAGCTTAAGACAACACAAATTTATTTTATAGTTATGTAGTCATAAATCTGGCATGGGTCTCGCTGGGCTAAAATCAAGGTGTTGGCAGGACTGAGTTATTTTCTGGAGGCCCTAGGGCAGAATCTGTTTCCAACTTGTAGAGACTGCCTGCATTCCTTGGCCCCTGGCCCCATCCTTCATCTTCAAAGCCAGCACTGGCTGGTTCGGTTCTTACATGGAATCACTCCAGTCTCCTTTATTATTTCCATTTTGTTCATTTAAGGGCTTTTATGATTAAGCCCACCCACACAATCCAGGAAAATCTCCCTATTCTAAAGTCAGTTATTAGCAACCTTAATTCCATCTGTGACATTAAATCTACTTCGTCACATAAGGTAACAGGGGTTGGGACTTGGATTTCTTTGAGGTGCCATTAGTCTGCCTATTACAAGCCTTAAATATAGATATAACAATAAATTTTGGATTGATCTACTACCTGTAATCATTGAGTTTGGGAATTTGCTGTTTTTCTCTCACATCCTTGGCCCTCTCACTTACATGGTGATTCATGGTCAAGTTCATCTTCTGTGGGAGATTCCTTTTGCAAACTTCCTGGACCACAGGGACTTCAGAGATTATGGATGTGTTGGTTTCTCCTGAGGTGGTCTTGCATCTGTGGTGGTTTCCCATATGGTGAAGACGGTGGTTTCTCAGCATTGTGGGCAGAATCCTTCAAAAGAAACCCATATACTTCCAGGCTGAGGTGCCCTCCTTGGCTGTTTCCACCTCTTCCACAGTCTGACTAGCACCAGAAGGGTCTATTTGTGTTTCCCGAAATGTAAGAGGCTCTTTCCATTTCCAAGTTTATTAGCTCTTCTTTTAAGAGACTGTAAAGCAAAAGAAGAAACATGCACAAGAGGCCAAATAACAACACAGGGTAAAAAGGAATCCACTTGTTGTTGGGCAAGAAAAATTAGTCATGTCTCTTGGGTTAACCTTTCTATATCCCATAGCAGAGGCCTTTCCCAGTTCTTGATAATAATAAAAGCTGACACAGCGTTTATTATGTGCCGGAAGTTGTTTAGGCACTTGGAATATATTAACCCATTTATTTCTTGCGACAACTATTAACATCTCTCCTTTGCAGATGGGTTTACAGAAAGGTTAAATGATGATCCTGGATTATACATTTTATTCTGAGCATCTCAACATGAAAACAAAGACCTTGGATATGGAGGCATAGGCAATGCCAAGAGAAACTTCTCACGATTTTCACTTATTCAGCTTTCATCTATGAAAACATCTATGTCCTTCAACAATTCAAGTAACAGCTGCAAGGGAGCAAGAAGAGATGGTGGGTGGAATGCATGAACCACCTGTTTGGGGATGGATGGGAGCCTCTCACTGCCTAGGCTGTCACTCTTTCCCAGCTGGTAGTTCTGATGATCTTGGCTGGCAAAGGTGTTTGCCCCAGTCTTCATCTGGACTAGGAGTCACCTCATGGTCAGTATGTGGCAGCCACAAACACTCAGGCAGTGGCAAGGATCAACATTCATAGTGGCTTGGTGTGTAGCCCCATGTTCTGATTGGAAAGGCTGAGCACTCTGGGTGCGCTCATAATCTATTGGTTTGCAGTTGCATCAGCCCTATTCTGATTGGCTATACCCATTTACATAAGCCATTACATCATTATATATGCATTGTTGGCTAATTATTCTATTCCTTATCAATGCATTCCAGAACTTTTCTAAACATGTGTATGACTTTGGAGGATAGCAGGTGTTTGTCTCTTTCGAGTGAGGTAGTCAAATACTTAATGTGTATGATTACACAAATACAATACATGTGTATGATTTTCATTACTTTTGGAAAAAAAATTGCTTACCAGCAAAAGAATGTTTTTGATAGGAAAGCTTGTTTACTGTTTTGTTTTTTTTTAAACACAGCAGATAGGTTTTCATTCATTCTTATTAAAATGTAGGATGTGGCATTCTTCCATCACACACTGCTAATTAGTGACAAATATAGGATTCATCTTTAAGAAGTCTACCTGCAGAATCCACATTCTTAACTACTATATTATACTGCCTCTCTGCCTGGAACTAACATTTCACAACGAACTAACTACTCCTAAGTGTACAGACCATAGCAGGAGAAAATGCAAGTTATCACAGGGCAGGCTACAGATGTCTTGGGAGCAGCATTCAGAGGACCCTGGTATGTAAGCGATATCTTACAAAGCAACTGAAAACTTCAATGGGGGGGTTCCTAAGAAACTGATATATAGGGGATCTTTAAATTACTATATTTTTCCTGTCTTGTAATAATTTATTTTGCTTTTTCTTTGAATAAAACTTTCTCTGATATAATGTAGTTAGTATGATTTCAGCTGTTGGAATTGTTGACCACTTGTGCCTTTACAAAAAAAGATTCACTTGGATTTCTGGATGGACCTTCAGCTAAGAGAATGTGACACTTCTATAGAGAAATCTGGGTTCTTGACACCATGTCATAAAAGTAACTTATCTTTCTCTAAGACCAAGGTGAGGACATGATACTGCCTCAGCCAAACTACAGCTCTGGCTTGTGCTCGTGGATTTGCTGAGGAGGCGTCACACAAGGCATGAAAGAATAACTGGACTTAGTAGATCTGAACTACTGCCAGTGAACTTGGATCTGGGCCAGATCAATGGGAAGTATATGGATGGAATAACACCCAAGCCGAATTGAAATACAGAACCTGTGTAAGTTTATGATTGTGTAAATTTCAGAGTGTCCATGTAACCTCCATGAGTGAAAAAAACAAACAACAGAAAATAGTCCAGAAGATGACTGCCCTTTGAGTTGGTGGCTTTGTCTTTTGTATCAACAATATGACCTAAGAGCGTGCTATATACTCATATTTTTGTAGTATTTGGATATGATTTTTGTGAAAACATTTTTGAAAATAAGATGCTCTATAACTGAGCCTCAATAATAGTTTCTTGGAGATAGGGTTTATAAAGAATCCTGGATTAGCAGATGAGGAAACAATTAAACCCAATCTTTCTTTGAGTAAGATTCCTGGTACATGCAAAATAGTGGATATTTATTCCCAGTCTTTATTATAAAGGGAGTTGTGAGGAGAAAGCTATCAACAGTGGCTGTGAGTTCTTGTTAACATTTTATGGGTGCCACATAAGAGAATGGAACTAACATTCAAGGAGTGTTTACAAAACACCTAGGTCTTCTGATCCTCATGACAATGCTACAGTAAAACGAACATTTTAGGCTTACAGAGCTGAAGCATGTCTATCAAGATCAGGCAACTAGCAGTTTTCAGAGATGTGATTCAAGCCCAGGTTTGTTTGACTTCAAGCTTTGCTCTTGCCATTATGGTATAGTACATTCCTCATGGAATTATGTTTAGCCACAAAAGATTAGGTAATGACATCTGCCCTTTCATGTTTAGAGCTCACATTAGTCCATATAAACCCAAACTTTATAAATATTTAATGTTAAGTACTTTTAGTACTTTCCATTGGAGGAGGAAAAAAAGCAATTTCCAATTGATTGACCGCATTTCCAGAGTTTCAGGCCATTTAGTTTTTTAAAAATCTCTATCCAGCAGAGATTTCCTTATTTATCTTTTTACGGATAAATAGACACAATAGATACATTTTGAACTAGCTTGAATATTATTACTGCTTTCCATGATCTATGAGTAACTGGCCATTGGGGGACAAATGAGATATTCTATGCTTCCCATTCAGTGAGAAGGCCATTGTCAAGAGGGCAGAAGGTGAGTTATGGACATCTAACATGTCATGCGGATTCACACCCACTCTTCCATGCTTCTATATGCTCCATGTTAAGAAGTTAGAATTCAAAACCAGAAGAATGTTGTAGACTTATTTTAGTTGTAGTGATGGATTTTTCCTATACTTTTTGTCATTTGTCTACTGTGAACAATGGCACAAATTTATAAGACAGATGGGGGTAATCTTAAGAGTTATAATCTGTAACTCTAGACTTGATGGAAATAAATGCCACTCATGATTCTAATTATGTTCCTGACCTTATTGTATTTAGTTGGTAGTTCCAAATAAGCTCACCTATATATTTAAATGGTAATAGTAACAGCACACTAATTATATTTAATAATCAACATGTGAAACAACAATTTATCACCTGGTTTAATATTCTGCTTGACTCCTCTAAATGTTGTTTCTCTTAGGACACAGAATCCCTGTGTCCACGCTATTAGAATAATGCTGTTTGTGCATATTTCTACAATGCTTACTTTACTATTGAACAGTACGTATGAAATGGAGACTTCATTGCAATCATTCCATTTATGGATACATCTTTTTTGATGTCAGACTGAAAAAAAAAAAAAAGAAAAAAGTAGATAAGTAGATATAGGCAGGAGAAAGAGAGAAAAAGTAGTTGAGTCGCTGAAAAAATGGCACCTGAAGGTGAGTGACACCAGTCAGGTGTTTATCTTAGTTTGGGAAGTGGGGTGAGAGGATAAGCTAAAAGAAGTCAACAAAATGTGTAGAATTTTGTGATAAATATTTTGTAAATAAAGGTACATTTAGCTACAATTTCCCATTTTCCTTATGTTTGGCAACTTTTGGAACACCCTGTAGAATAGAAAACAATCATAATGTTAATAGTTCAACTTATTGCACTATTGTCATTTCAATTTTACAGAGGGGAAATGAGACTCAGAGTGGTTAAATAGCTGGCTCAAATTTGCACAGTAAGTGGCAGAGCTGGAATGCCAATCCTGGCAATCTGAACCATTGTTTAAAATGGGGGATTAACAAAACGCATACAGTGTTAACTTATAGGGAAGGGAAAAAAAAACAACCAAGTGATACCTGGGAAAAAAATAAGACTGCATTTAAAAAAATTACCCAATGGGCTAATTATAGTTATGTATCACTGACACCACGCTTTGTATCTGTTAGCGCTTTTAATCCGGCTGACAATTCTGTGAGGTAGGTACTGCCAGTTCCATTTTTCAGACAAGGACACTTTATACATGACACATTTTCTGCTTGCACAAAGTTACATTTCAATATCTGGCTCTGGAGCAAGATAAGGAAGACAGAGGGAGATCTGGCAGCAGAGTGAGCAGGGCAAGGTAAGCAGGCTGAAAGTGAGAAATGCAGGAAGCTTCCCGTTTAGGCAGAAGCTGGCTCCAGCTTTCAAATCTCTCCAGCAAGCCCGCCAAGGCGTCACAAAGCCCGCCCCTCGGTGAAAAAGCCACGCCCCTTCCCTGGCTGTTCTCGGAGTTCCCATTACGTCCCTCCTTCTCTTTGGCTCCGCCTGCCCCGCCTCGCATCATTTCCTGTGCGCTGGATGCTGATTGGTCCAGCGGTCGGAAGTGAGGGCGGGCGGTGGGGGCCGTTGCCGCAGTGACAGTGCTCGGGGAGTCCGAAGATGGCGGCGTCGCGTCGCTCTCAGCATCATCACCACCATCATCAACAACAGCTCCAGCCCGCCCCAGGGGCTTCGGCGCCGCCGCCGCCACCTCCCCCACCACTCAGCCCCGGCCTGGCCCCGGGGACCACCCCAGGCTCCCCAACGGCCGGTGGCCTGGCCCCCTTCGCCTCCCCTCGGCACGGCCTAACGCTGCCGGAGGGGGATGGCAGTCGGGATCCGCCCGACAGGCCCAGATCCCCGGACCCGGTTGACAGTACCAGCTGTTGCAGTACCACCAGCACAATCTGTACCGTCGCCGCCGCTACCGTGGTCCCGGCAGTTTCTGCTTCACCTGCCGTTGGGGTCGCTCCCAACCCAGCCGGTGGTGGCAGTAACAATTCACCGTCGTCCTCTTCTTCCCCGACTTCTTCCTCATCTTCCTCTCCATCCTCCCCTGGATCAAGCTTGGCGGAGAGCCCCGAGGCAGCCGGAGTTAGCACCACAGCAACATTGGGGCCTGGGGCAGCGGGACCTGGGACAGGGGTCCCAGCAGTGAGTGGTGCCCTACGGGAACTGCTGGAGGCCTGTCGCAATGGGGACGTGTCCCGGGTAAAGAGGCTGGTGGACGCGGCAAACGTAAATGCAAAGGACATGGCCGGCCGGAAGTCTTCTCCCCTGCACTTCGCTGCAGGTCAGAGACTTTTAAATTGTTTATTAAACATTTTGGGGTAGGGGATAGGGGTCCGGCTAGGAAAAGAAAACAGACTCCAGTGATGGAGCAAAGTGGGGGCGTGGTTATGGTTCTATAACACCTCACCAGAAGACTAGAGGTTCCTTTCTTTTGATAGTGCCTCGGTGATGGGGGCGTGGTTGGGGAGATTGTGTGAATCCTAGGATCCTTCTTTAACTTCTTTAGTGTTTGCATAGTTACACTTGTACAGATTCCAAAACTACTTGCAGTTGGTGGCCTCCGGATATGGATATACTTAAACTTTTTCAGTTCTGAGTGTGTAGGAATAAAGGTAGATTTAAGAAGCTTTAGAGTAGTTTTGTTGTTTGTGTGCTTGTTTCTTTTGTTTTTACAGGGGTGTAGCCATTGAGGACAGTCCAGACCAAAAGATGTTAAATGCAACTCAGCAAGTGTTTAAGGATCTATCATATAGTCTTGGTAACTTAATGAAAGACATAAATGAAGTTTTTGAAAATTTCCCTTTTTTCAAGGAGTGTACAGTCTAGTTGGGGAGACCAAAATATGGCCTTATGAGAAAAACTGGAGAAGAATATTTGGATGTATTTTGTGATAATGGAAATTATATAGGCTTTGATGTTGCAGACACCTCTACTTGTTGTCTGACAGACAGTTTACCTTGTCTCAGTTGCCTGTTTTATCATGGGCAAAACTCATACACTAGAGTTGTTGAGAAGTATCTGGCACAAAGTTTTCCTCCCAAAAGTATGAGTTCCTAAACTCTGGACCACACACTTTGCATTTTTGAATGCCTTTTTTTTTTTGAGCAAGTAGTTGACTATGTTCTTTTAAAAACACCTAATACTATTTTTGTAGAATACAGAGAAATGTAAGACAAAAGGAAAGGACTGTAATCTCACTGCCCAGGTACCTATTATTGATATTTAAAAGTAAAGATAATAATGTTATGTACATTAGAAACATTATATTAGAAATACATATATTGTATATACATTATAAAATTCAAGTGGGACAGAAAGATACAAGATAAAAAAGCACCACAGACACACAAACATCAAAGATAACCTGTTAAGTTTCATGCTACATTTCTTACATCACTCCTTCAATTTGTTCTGTTAACAGTAAAACATACGTTAACTTACTGTATGCATATTTAACTTGTTTTTTAACACATCTGGGAAGATACTGTTCTCCTTGTTTTACAGATGACAAAAGTGAAGCACATTGTTTAAATAAGTCCATATTCACTCAGGAAATAGTGGAAACTGGATTTGAATTCAGGCAGTTTGATTTTAGAGCTTGTGAAATCAAGCTTAAACTGTCATAACCTATACTGGGGTTAAGGTCACTTTTCATTTCTGTGAGTAATTGCAGTGCAGTGAGTTTCTGATTTTTGCAGTGTTTTGGGAGAAGTAGTAATCAGGGGCTTCAATGTAAGAGAGTAACTTTCATGTATTTTTTATTGTAGCCCATAATTAGAAATACATTTTACATTGTCATACACATACATGCAAGTGAATCAAAAGTTTTGGGAAACAATACTTTTCCCTTACTACATGTGTTGTACTCTGATGTTTTATATCATTTTTAGCGAATGCTGTTTGTGATCCATTAATGGATCATGACCAGTGGTATGAGAAACACTAATGGAAATCATTATTAGGTCACTGGATCCATTCTTGATATATATAAACACTACTATTAGGACTGTAGTGAATTGAGTCATAAACAGGCTTTCATCTAACTAGATATTTATTTGCTCAAGGGTCTTGCTTGTTTTAGATAAAATAGCATTTCTTTTTGTTTACACTAAATGAAAGATCTAAGGCTGATTTTACAAATCATCCAAGGTTGTTTACTTATACATACTTTATTCCAAATTTGACCATTTTAACAAGTTGTTTCACAAATCTTGTCATCTCTCACATACCTCAAGTAATCACTAACAAATTATACTTAGTTATATTTATTTGTGTATTAATGTACTTATTTAGGGTTATTCACACAGAAAATAGTGCTTGTCTTCCAAATCACATGTTTTCTATTTGCCACAATAGTTACTTTTTATTGGTTCAGAGTTTTATGTATACCCAGATAAACCAGAATACGAACAGTAAAACAGTCCTGTAATTATGTCATAGTTAGGAGAACCTAGCTTTGAGCTGGCTTTCTTAGAAAAAAGTTTCTTTTAACGCATTTGTGGAAAACAGACAAAACAATAATAAAACTCGCCATAATCTAAAGACATAATACCCTGTAGTCGATTTACCACACTTCCATGTTTGTATGCATAACATTAAGTTATGTTAAATCTTGTCTTCTCCATCATGTAGAGGCTGAATAATTAAAAATAATTGTCACTTGGCTATTAGTTGACTATTTTAGTCGCTTAATAGCTGTTTTAGGGATAGGAAAATTGGTATAATCCCTTGGATGGAAAAGTTAAAAAACTATAGCTTATTTGTTACACAAATATTTTAGTACTTAGAGGTCAGATGTTAAATATTGGCACAATTGTGGAGTGGCAAAAAGTCCTTTCCCTTAAGAAGCTTACAGTCTAGGGGGAACCCTAAACAACAACATGAACAACACAACAAAAACCTACAAAGTATGTAACCTGGAGTGATAGGAAAAGTACATTTTACTGTGTGTTGCAGTATGTAATGGGGGCTCTTATCCTAGTTTTAGAGCAGTTAAGGAAGTTTTTCTAGATAAAGAGATTTTTTTAAAGCAGAAATTTAAAGAGTGTACCCAAGCTAGCCAAGCAAAAGTTGGAAGGGAAAATGTTAATTCCTTATTTCTATTTAAAAATGAGTTTATAGTTCTATAGAATGACATGAAAGTATTTTTGAAGATCTCAGACATGGTATGAAGCCTTATTTAAATTCTTATGACTTTATTTATATTGCTGTATGAGTAACTATATTCTTTCCATCAGTAGAATTAAGGAATCCTTTCTATCCCATCTTTGGATTGTGATAATTATTTGTTTAAAATGTGGCTTAGAGACTTTATTAATGGACTCATCCTAGTCTCAATTAGAACAAAATCTTCAGTTTCCATTGTTGATATAGGTGCTTAAAATACGATTTTAATGCCTTTTTAAGATGTCTGTATCAAAATGGTCCAGTCCTTTTTTTTTTTTTGAGACAGAGTCTCACTCTATTGCCCTGGCTAGAGTACCGTAACATCAGCCTCGCTCACAGCAACCTCAAACTCCTGGGCTCAAGCAATCCTACTGCCTCAGCCTCCCAAGTAGCTGGGACTACAGGCATGTGCCCTGCTAATTTTTTCTATGTTTTTAGTTGGCCAATTAATTTCGTTCTATTTATAGTAGAGACGGGTTCTCAGTCTTGTTCAGGCTGGTTTCGAACTCCTGACCTTGAGCAATCCGCCCACCTCGGCCTCCCAGAGAGCTAGAATTACAGGTGTGAGCCACTGTGCCTGGCCTGGGCCAGTATTTTATGTTGACTAGAGTTTATATGAGGTTTTCTCTTCTACAGTTAAGATTTGACCCCGCTTTTTTATTGCTCAAAATATAGCACTCAAAGAGCTTTAAAAATAGTACCAATTTAGAGTGATATCATCTCCTTAGTTCAGTTCCTAGTAATGACATTTTTTACTAAAGGACTACTATATTCTGATGGAGTTTCTTTTTATAGAAGAGTTCAGATAAGGTCTTTTTTTTTTTTTTTAAAGTCTTTAACAAAGCATTAAATTCTGAGGTCTTATGGTATTCACTTTAAATTGAAGACATTTTGATATAGGCTTCCTGGCTGTTAATTAACATATTGTTTGGATTATAACATGTGATATGAGGTATTTTAGTATCAAACCAGCAAAATAAGGATGTCAGTTTTATATTTTCATTTGATATTTGATTTGGATGGTATCTATTACAACGTACTCATTCCTGACTCTTCTCCTGATTTTTCAGCATGGCCATGCTTGTCTTTTTTTACCCCCTCACCACTGTATAAACGTAGTTCTTAGTAAAAAACCACCAAGTCCTATAAACTGTTTTCCATCAGTGGGTAGGAAAATGAGTCAGAATGCTTCAGTCCTGGAGTGGGAATCTTCCTGCAGTTTTCATTGTCTGGCAACATCCTTGATAGTATTTGTAAGCAAATGCCCTGCCTCAGGGTTTAAGAAGGGTCTAATTTGGTAATAGACAAAAGGAGCTAGTTTCCTAAGTATCTGCGCCCAGACTTCAAATTGTTGATTATAAACTGGATAATCTTTTACTTATCCAGTTTAATTTTTTGTTGTTTTTTTTTGAGGCAGAGTCTCGCTTTGTTGCCCAGGCTAGAGTGAGTGCCGTGGCGACACCCTAGCTCACAGCAACCTCAAACTCCTGAGCTCAAGCAATCCTGCTGCCTCAGCCTCTGGAGTAGCTGGGACTACAGGCATGAGCCACCATGCCCTGCTAATTTTTTCTATATGTTTTTAGTTGGCCAATTAATTTCTTTCTGTTTATAGTAGAGACAGGTTCTCGCTCTTGCTCAGGCTGGTTTCGAACTCCTGACCTCAAGCAATCCGCCCGCCTTGACCTCCCAGAGTACTAGGATTATAGGCGTGAGCCACTGCGCCCAGCCCCAGTTTAAGGTTTTAATGCTTATCCAGTATTAAGGTTTTCTTAATACCTTACATTTTCTTTAAGGTACTTCTTTAAAGAAAATTCACATAGCCCTTTTAGCTAAAAAGTTGTGTAAAGTATCTCTTTTGCCTTAATATCAGTCTTTGGAAGCAAATGATTTAAAGAACAAGTTAGCTATTTGTAAGATGATATGTACATGTATCTCTAATAGCAAAAAATTGGTAACAAGTCAACTTCAACAGTAGAGGGATGCTCACATAAATTATAATATTGTGTAATTTCTTTTATGTAGCTGTCTGCATATATTAGTATATTCTTCTGCCCATCAATTTATCCTTTTTTAATGCATGTCAATATAAATTGTAGGCATCTGTGCAGCTCCCCT